CGCGAGGTCCTGCCTCCATCGGCCGCTGCCCCCCAGCGCGCTCCCCTCGAGTCCTCCCCTCGCTACCGACTTCAGCGTCTGCACCGCACCTCCCCACGTGCCAAGACCTGACCCCTACAACCGCGCAGCTGCACGCGCGCGCCCTACCTTTCTGCACCTGTCACCTCAGACACCAATTTCATTCCTTTTTCTCACTCTGTCTCCCCACTAACATAAGCTCCGTAAGCACAGGGACTTGAAATAACACCCCCCCCACACACACACACACACCCGGGTTTTCTTGCCGGTCTTCAGCGCTGCTAACCGCCTGCCAGCTCAGGCACCGAAGAAATGTCTGCTCAACGCACGCGTCTAGGAGCCCCGCTCTCCGGGGGCGGGAACTTGGAGGGGAAAGGCCGGAGGGAGTGGAGACAAGCGGGGCGTCTTTGCAGAGCAGAAAGGCTGCTGGTCGGGGAGAAGGAGAACAATTCCAAATGAGATTGAGGGGTCTCTTGGGAGGCACGACCTCAGGGCTTTGCAGACCAGGGAAAGATTTCAGATTTTACCTAATGGGGAGCCTTTGGGAGCATGTGGCTGTACAGAGGAGACGGAATCGGACCTGGCATTTGTCAACAGACTGGCTCTGGCTACAAGTGAAAAATGGGTTGGGAGGGGGTGAGGCGAGGACGGGGACAGGGAGGCTTGTTAAGACCCAGAGGGGATGGTGGCTTAGAGATGGTTCGCGTGGCCTCTGTTTTTGAGGTCAAGTAGTTGCGCTTGTTGGGACGTTGGAGGGAGATGGGGGAGGCCGAGGTTTGGGACCTGAGCCGGAGGAAGGCGTAGCGTGAGCTGGGAGGAGCGGGCCTGGTTCATGTGTCCTTTCCCCCTCAGATCCGGGGCTCCCGGTCCCGAGCCCTCCCAGACAGGGCCCTGGTCAACTGTCAGTACAGCTCTGCAACCTTCAGCACCGGTGAGCGCAAGCGGCGGCCGCATGGGGACCGGAAGTCCTGCGAGATGGGTCTGCAGTTGCGTCAGACCTTCGAGGCAGCTATCCTTACGCAGCTGCACCCACGCTCCCAGATTGACATCTATGTGCAGGTGAGCAGGCAGCCGCCCTCGGCCTGGGGAGAGGAGGGAGATGGAGGGCGTGAGGGTGGGCAGCCTCATGGACTTAAGCCGCTGTGGATGGGGCTCCCCGCAGGTGCTGCAGGCAGACGGTGGGACCTACGCCGCTTGTGTGAATGCAGCCACGCTGGCCGTGCTGGATGCGGGGATACCAATGCGGGACTTTGTGTGCGCCTGCTCAGCGGGCTTTGTGGACGGCACAGCCCTGGCGGACCTCAGCCACGTAGAGGAAGCAGCTGGCGGCCCCCAGCTGGCCCTGGCCCTGCTGCCAGCCTCGGGCCAGATCGCACTGCTTGAGATGGATGCCAGGCTGCATGAGGACCACCTGGAGCGGGTGCTGGAGGCCGCTGCCCGGGCTGCCCGAGATGTGCACACCCTGTTGGACCGAGTGGTCCGGCAGCATGTACGCGAGGCCTCTATTTTGTTGGGGGACTGAGCATCCTGCCACCTGTGCCCAGAATAAAATCCACACACCATCCTTTGATCCCCACGGGAGTTCATTCTCAGAGCGCGGCCTGTGCGGGCTGGTGGAGGTGACTAGGGGCCTTCCCCCACATGAACTACGTCTCGCTCGCAGCCTCAGAATTCAGATCCTGAAGAAGGTGGGGGGAGCGTGTCCCTGGGTGGAGAGAGCAGCTTATGCCTAGAAGGGTTCAAGGCAGCCAGGGAGCCATTAGACCGTGGAGTCTGTCTTCCTCAGCCCAGCCGTGCAGGGCCCCGGGCACTCGGGCTGAGGGAGATTCAGCTGGCGGTGGGTGCCCACCATGGGGATTTGGGGGGGCGTGTCCCACATCCTAGGGACTATGCCGGCACTAAATGGCCCCCTTCCCCCTAAGAACTCTTTGGGGCCTGTCCTACTGACCTTGGGCTCCAAAAGTACAGCAGACAAATGTTCTCACCTGGAGTGGTCTCCTCGGCTCTGACCCCCTCAGTGGGACACACACTACCCCCTCCCTCCACCTGCTCTCAGACCTGCCTGAGCCCCGGGCACCAGCCCTGCAGGCCACACCCGGAGGCTGCTTCTCCCCTAAAATCCCAGGCACCTCCCGACCTGGAGGCCCCCAGCTCCCTGAAGCCCCTCTTGGTTGAGTGCCATCAGCACCTTCCTGTGGCCTCCTGACCCCGATGACCTCCGTGCTGGGCTCACCGGGTGATTCCACTGGGCACCCACCGCCACGTCTGCGGGCCCACAGCACGGGAACGAATCCGCCCAAGCCTTGGCCTC